CGCCTCCCGCCGCCCTGGCCAAGCCACAGCTCCACCGGGCTCCGGTACGGCGTGCAACCACCCAGCCTGGACCGGGGACGGAGATCACGGAGACCCACGGGCGATGGTAAGTCGTTGCTGTGAAATCCAGCTGTTGCTTTGCAGGTAAAGGACAGGGTGGAAAGGTTTCAGCGACAGCTCCAGCCTCCGAGAAGAGGCAGGAGGAAAGGGAGAAAGGAGCAGAGCTCTGTGCTTGGTTAATAAGTAACACCGGGAGCTCCACCGGCTGCTGCTGAATTACCAAAGCCAGGGCTCTCCAGGCTCGGTTCCTCTGCGAGGGGGAGGGAAAGGGTCAGTCAAACAAAGCTGCACTGCCAGCGTGACCCCCACTCAAATTCTGCGTGCCAAGTATGACCCCCACGCGTGCTCTGTCTGCACGGTCCATGTAACCCCCCCCGGCCAGCTGGAAATCAGATTTTTTTTTTCACAGCGGCAGAGGGGATAGGAGCAAAAGACCGTGGTGCCTTGTGGCATATCTCATTCCAGCCTTACCTGCAGGTCCTGCTCACACCAGGGCTGTCCCCTTTTACCCTCTCCTAGGTGGCAAGTCACCTTTAAAAGGGAAGATGTTAATTTGAGCAGAGATGGTTGTTTCACCTCCAGAAAGCCCAAAGCTCTCCCGATTTCCCATGCTCGTTCCTTTCCCTCAGTTGCACAATGCATCGCCTTGCTTCCCTGCTGGCAAAAAAAAAAAAATCCCAATGCCTTAGCAGTTGAGAGTCAGCAAAAGAAAACAAAATAATTAAGTTTCCCTAATGAAAAGAGTGTGTTTTAAAGGAGTAAGCACACATGAAAGCATTAACATGCCATACCGACAAAAACAGCAGGCTGGCCAATGTGCTGGGGTGGAAAAGAAGGGAAGGGAGCAGGGTGGAGGGCACAGAGGGTTCACCATCACAAGACACGGCCGGAGGAGCCGGCTTTCGTGTGGTCCACCGGCTAACCTCAGCCTGGCCATGCCTCCCACTGGTGCTGGGTGCTCAGAGAAAAGCTAGGCCTGGAAAAAGCCCTGGGGTCCATCCTCCCACATAGTCGTGATGCAGAAAAGGGTTCAGAAAACAATGAAGCTGTGTCCCTCCCCAGCAGCCTGGTTTCTTGCTCTGCCCAGAGGAGGCTGGCTTGGAACCCTGCCCCCTGCATCCATAACCTCTCTGCTTTAGGCAAGCAACAGCTCCGACTTTACACAGCCTTTCCTCTTTTTAGCCCTGATACACGGGCAGGAGGTTTCAGCCCCCAGCCCTGAAACCTGACACAGCTCCTACCCCACGTTCCCATCAGAGCCCCCCCACCCAGCGCAGCCCCCCCGGGTGCCCCCCCTGCCAGTGGCCCTGTGCAGAGCTGAGCCAGCCTCTGTCCCCACGTTATCCAGTTGCTAAGCTACCCGTGCCCGGCTTATCACGCCATCGGCACGGAAGGGCAACGGCTGAGGGTTTATTGCGCTGAGCCATGTTTACTCACTACCTTCCCTTCAAACGCAAAGCTCGGGATGGGATGGGGTTGACATCAGTGGGGCTGGCAGGGGCCCATCCAAAACACTGCACAAACCGAAGGGCAGCACAGGTGGTTTGCACGCTAGCAGCAAAGCCGGAGCACGCACAGGCAAGGAAAGCTTTCCCCAAACATCATGCAAAGGGGAGAGCATGCAGCTGCAACGCCAGGGGGACAGGGACCATCCCACCCCCAGCCACCCCTGAGCAAAGGTTCAGCACACACCTCGGCACTCTCCATTTCACAAAGTAATCTGCAGCTGACAGCTTTTTGTAAGCATAAGGGGCACGGCTACGCAGACGGGTAGGCACCCACATAGCCCGATGGTTTAGCAGACCCAGTAACATGGGAATAGGGCATAATCTTTCCAATCTTCCTCAAAACATGCAAAACCAAAGAAGAACCTACAAAAATATCAGCTCCGGGGCTGCCTCTCTGGTTTTGTACAGCCTGTGAGTAGGTAAACTACAGAAAAGGATGACTTGCCTTAGTTGCTCAGCTGTTTAAGATGCTACTTTTGAGCATCGATACCTAAGCAAAGAGTCTCAATGGGCTGCTGACCAAACACCCCCAAGAAACAGCGGGCTGTACGTGTCGGGACTCATATCTAACTTGCCACACTTTGCTCTGCAGCACATAAAGGAAAACAAATTGCAAAGAGATGCTGGTTTTTGTCATTGAGAAATAACAATCCTCACCAACTCAAAAGATCAGATCACCCACTAGGAAAGAATTTTAATTGCCAGAACATAACCTTTCAGCTAGAGCAATAACCCTCTGCACTCACTCCTGCCTTCCCCACTGAGCCAGATACACTGGCTCGGGTAGCCCCCATCCCCAAGAACTCCATTTTAGTTTCATCTTTGCCTATATTCACTCCCCAAAACCAAAGAACCACTGCTTTTCCCCTCCCTTAAAAAACAAATAGCAGCAGCTCTGCCCAAGAGCAGAAGACAATGCTAAGTCACAATCCCTCCCCTCTGCCCTTTGTTACTCGCAGACAGAAACAGCCTCTTAAACTCCACCATAACATAAGGGAGATTGAAAAGGAGCTGAACTCCAATTTAGTGTGACTCATCTCTCCGATTCACATTTCTTTCTCCTCTAAAGCAGGGTTCCAGTGCAGATGACCTGCAAATAAAGCCCTCCGGCTTTGGAAAGGTACTTCACAAACCTCAAAAGCAAGCAATTCTCAGTTCTAGAAGCCATCACAAAGTTTCAGGGTTGTGGTGTTTTTTTTTCCAGAAAATTGTATGCAATATTTGGGAGCTTAATCTCTCCCACCCAACATTTCCTAGTACCTCAGGTAATAAGGAATACATATATACACTAGTAAAGCAGCAGGTATTGCAGGTCAAAAGACAAAAGCGACAAGCTGGACTTCACTTGACCTAGGTGCATGTAGGATGTACCCAGGGCAGGGCACAGGGGACAGCATCGATGTCCCCTGTCATCAGTACCCCTCAAATTCACATCCATGCACACACGCTCTAACCCTCCCCACCCAGTCTGCAGCTGCCTCCGTGGACCCTTAACTCCACAACCCACGGGATGTCTCATTGCTTTGAGTATCCTGCTTCATCCTACCTCTGCCACGCTGATCTGCTCCTCTTCCCTTTCTTTTCCGTGGTGTCAGGCAGGAAAAGCCCACAGGTTGAGCACAGAGGAGAGGGAGCAGCTGCTGCCAAACCTGAGAGCTGTGGGGTGGAACGAGGTAGAAGGCAGAGACGCCATCTTCAAAGAGTTCCACTTCAAGGACTTCAACCGGGTAGGAAGTTTTACAAAGTGGGAGACCGGGTTTGCAGAGCAGGAAGTCCCATCTGCAAGGCTCAGCCAAAGAAAGCCCTCCGTGTTTCTCCTGAAACGTAATGGCTGAAGCAAGATAACCCTGCGTAAGACACCAAAGTGCTCCACCCAGCACACCATTTGTCTGGGAAAATCTCCCCAAAAAGGAAAACCCTTAGAAAACCAACATAGATACAAGAACATCCCAGGCCTTGCATTTGGTTGGGTTAGATACATGTGGTATAAAATTAATAGTAACGGAGTGAAAATGTATTGGAGTGAAAATGTATTGCAGTGTAAGTGGTTCAGAGCTAACTTTTCTTCTTACTCCACTGGGCAGGCCTTCGGCTTCATGACCAGAGTGGCTCTACAGGCAGAAAAACTGGATCACCACCCCGAATGGTTCAATGTGTACAATAAGGTAAGAAACTAGGATGGTGGGGGCAAATGGAGCACTTCAGGGAGCAGATCCCTTTGAGGCATAAACCAGCAGCAAGTCCTATTCAGATCAGTGGGACCTCTTCCCTTGGATCCTATTCCCTTAGCATATCGCAGACAGCTTAACAGCTATCACTTACAGATCCTTTCCTCCCCCTTTTTGACCTGCTCAGCTGCGCAGTAGCTGCCTGTAGGCCAGCACCAAGCTGCTTTTTTAAAATCAGTATCAGTAGTAGCGACAAGGGGAAAAGCTTCTGGAAAAAAAGTGAGTTGAAAAGTGGGCACAGCTGGCTGCTGTGACCAAGGCAGGGGTGACAGTCACAGTCTGTGGCCAGGACCAGCTGAATGAAGGGAAAAACACACAGGCAAAATACCAGACCCCCTCGCCCAGCCCAGGAAATTTTGCTAACAAGTCTGGAGAAAGTAATAGCACTACCTGCCTCATCAGATGCAAACTGTCTGCAGCACTGGGGAAACCGTTCCTGCTCTTTCTGCCAGCAACACTGAAGTCAGTCTGTCTGTCTGGTTTAGGTTCACATCACCTTGAGCACCCACGAGTGCGGAGGCTTATCGGAGCGAGACATCAACTTGGCCAGCTTCATCGAGCAGGTTGCAGCTTCCCTCTCCTGACGAGACACACACACGAAGCCAAAAAAAAAAATCAACCATGCCGCTGCCACAACCCGTATCTCACCTGGATGGTTGCGCCTAGAGCCCTCTCCTACTTCCAAGCTAGTTCCTGGATCCAGACGGCCTAACACCACACCAAGCTCCCCTGCCACAGCTCAGATGGATGGAGGCGCTTCTCAGGCACCCAGCATACATATCCATCTCTGATCTCACCCCTTCCATTTTTAAACCCTTCTGTTAGTTGTGCGCTACCAGCCTGCAAACCGCTGAGCCTCTGGGGCTTTCAGCAGACCTGTCCCTTTTACCAGGAGTCATGTTACACAATTGCACCAGTAAATCTTTCCAGAGCCTGACCCCATCTAGCCACTGTGTTATTGCTTCTTACCTACTGGAATATGCTTTCTACCAAAAACATGGTTTCCCTGTAACATACCAGCAACTGTGATGTGCAATTTGGTTATTACTGTAACCTCTCTCTAGCAGTATTACAAAGCAGGCATGTGATCTCACCCCTATTGTAACCAGCCTTTAGTAGGATACCAACTGAAAATGTTTACAATAAACCTCTTGGTTAACCTGATGTCAGTTTGGAAGGAGACCTTGCTATCAAAAACAGGCCAACAGGTTTTCCCAAAGCAGGAACTGGTCTGACTGCTCTCAAGAAGGTGCTTCTGCCATGGAAAAAGCTTTCTGATGAAGCAACATGGAGAAATGACACGTGCCTTCGCAGGCCTGTACTTCAAAGAGAACAGGGTCTGAAAGAGAATGAGATTATCAAAGCCAGAGCAGATCAGACAAAAAACTTCTTGTGTTAAAACTGTACCACAGCCAAGGCACAAACACAAGAAAGGGACAAAAGCAGCACAGCAATTGGGCCAGGGGCTGCTTACAGTGCAATACCTCCCAGAAGAGGTTGTAGGTAGATTTGGTGGTGTAAGATCTTCACTCCAGTAACACAATGATCTTGGCATTCAGGGAGTCCGCAGCCAAATTACTGCATTTTCGGTACAACAGGAAAAATTTGCTGTGAAACCAGCAGTAGTTGCTTTCAGCAAAACAGTCTGGGAGAAACACTACAGCCTCCCAACTCAGGTCGTGGGGTTTTTTTTTTAACCCTTTAAAGTTCTATAAGGCATTAAGAGAAAATCCATAGCTTTTAAATGACAATTTTCAGCATCCTTGAACATCACACACAAGATGCAGCCACAGGCACCACCTTTATCTCAACAGAATGAAACAGCAGCCCTCAGGCCAAGTTTGTAATATTCATAAACCATTCTCCCTGCCACAGACTAGGCTGTGCACAAGCAAAGACCAGGAGCAACAGGTCCCCGGCTCATTCAAATGAGCACTGAAACAGAAAAATAAGAGTTCAGTGAGCCTAGGTAGCTAAATGCACCATTTTAATACAAACTCGGCCCATTTTCACCATCTCTTCAGCTATTTCAAGCCTACAGTTTTACAGTGGCAAATTAGAGCAATACAGAATACCGCCATCAGATGAACTCATTCCATTTGTTCATTAAAAAGTCAATGTGTATTTATTGGGCAAGATATTATCGTACACAACCCTTCCCACTCCCCCAAGTCATCAGAAAAGTGCAGATGAAATCCATGGCATGAAGACACACATCTCTTCTTGGTCCATCCCATTGGATATTCTTCAGCCTAGTACCTAAGAGCACTCAAATCCCTTGAGTGCTTTGTAGAAGCAACAAATTTAGTAGTTCACTTTGAAAACCTGACCATCAGAAATCTTGCAGGAATTAACAGTCACGAAGGTCCCTCCAGGTCTAAAGTACCATCCAGTTTCAGATCATAATCCAGTTGATAAAATCCTTTTTTCTCTTTTAAATAATTATACAGCCTGTTAATCGCACCGTTTTTGTAAGACCATTTGGCATGATAAAGGAGATGCAGATTACATATTAGATGACACGGATGAACGAAGATTACACACCGGTAAATTACAGTGGCCTATTCCTGACCAGAAGATTACATTTACAGTATAGGACAGAGACATATAACAACTAAACCCACAAATATTACTAGGAAGTGAAGCCCAGAACAGAATACATTGACTTACAAATAACATCTTCAAATACATCCAAAACCGCTGAAATGGAGCACTGATCTGTCAGATCCATCTGCTTCCTCGGAGGAGAATGTAACCAAGGAAGAGAAGGGAGTTCCTCTCTCCACCCCACCCTAATCCATCCCCCCTCTTTCTTTTAAAGCAGAAACAAAAAGAGTACCTCCCTTTGTTTTGTTTTTAAATCTCGGTTCAAAAGAGAACCATCACAGTAGCCAGACACTTAAAGACTGTCTCCAAAGTACTGCAAACTCAGAGGTGCAGTAATGGTCACATTGGCAAGACATTAACAGAATAAATAGGTCCAACAGAAATCCTGACTGCCAGAGTTGGTAACACCATTAAGAGACTATCAGGCAATTCAAAGGGCTCAGAGGCTATGCATGAAGTCATCAATTTAAGGGCAGATACTTTTGTCTCCTAGCACTGAGAATAAACCTGTTAAAAAGCAAGTATCTTTCCCACAATCACTGGGCCCAAGGCCACACTCTTTGTGCACTGGCTGGTAACCCTTAATTCGGTAGAATTATTGTGCAAGTGTGTGCTTCAGCTGTGTTAAGCTAGTGAGGAGGGTCAGCTTCGGGCCAACAAGCCCAGTACAGCAGAGACACAAATGCCCTCAGACGCTCCGCACAAGACTGTGCAAACGTGGCACAAAGTCTTCTCCCAAGTGTTGAACTCCACCTAGGAAGCTCAGTAGCATGCAAAAACCCGAGAGGAAACACATGGGAAAGCCCTGCAGGAGTAACTCCACTGCTGTGTAATAACTCAAGGCATTTTAGCTTGTCCTTAAGGCCACAACTGTCTCAAGTTGCACTGGGAAAACTCTCTCACCATAAAAACAGCAGAGAAAGATAGGAATGGTGAGCCATATGCCCAAGGCTTGAATACCTCCAACTTGCTGCATCCTATCATCTACCTCTCGGAGCTATACCAGCATCTTTGTAATACTGTGAAGGGACTTGGCTCAGGACAACTACTATTCTACTTTATAGGCAAGCATAGTTTCTCCGAGGCCAGTCTGCCTTTGAGGTTTGTTTTTTTTTTTTAGCATAGTACCATAATGAAACAACTGCAGTAAAGGTTGCAGTCAACAGCTGAACTCTTAAACCCTCCCTGGCATCCCACAAAAAAAGCCAGAGAAGCATCAAGGCACAATGGTGAATGCCCTTTTGAGAATGTGCCTTAAAAGAATCAGTGCAAAGAGCAGAGATTACTACTATTACAAAAGTCACCTTTTTATACTAAAAGATCATGGTAAAAAAAGGTCAGCTTTGGCGCTATCTGTTTGCACAGAAGTCCCTAGCCGTGACACACGCCAGGGCCTGACTCTACTACAGCATTGTGAGACAGTGCAAAACCTTCAAGTTCTGAAGAGTGAAATCACTGTTTTGCACATCCCTCCAGAATTGTGCGAGGTACAACAGCACTCTAGGTGGTAAACGCATGTCTTTTCTACAAGAGGCAGGGAAGCAAAACAGTTACTATGTACCTAGGATTTTCAGTACCACCCAGTTCCTCTCCCTACACCACCTGCTTGGTTTCTAATTTCTGCTGTTACTCAAACCAAGAGATTCCAGAAAAGGATTCTGTGTTGGTGTTTGGGGTTTTTTTGCCCCTCAGCAGATATTGATTGCAGTCTCGCCGAGACCTCCAGAGAGGGTTTCAAAAAGAGTACATGACCATCTTTCCTTTGCCAATTCATTGGCTCTGCATCACACAGATATAAGGCTCCCGGCACAGTCTGTTAAATGCAGTAGCTTGGAGGAATACTCAAAAGAAAACAAAATTTTCAATTTATTTTCTACCTTCGACTTCTGGGAAGACTGAAGCTTTGCAACACAACATGAGAACTCAAATCTAACACTTGGCTGGACACCAGCTGAATACCAGGTCTGAGGAGAAGAAACAGCAAGGAATGAAATGACACACAGAATACCTGAGGAATTTGGAGTTGTGGAATGGACATTAAATTCACCATCAATAGTCATGATGAAAATAGGCGGGGGGAAGGGAAGAAAAGCCCTAAAACTAAAATTGGGCATGAGGATAATGCCGATTTCAGAACAGACTAAGACGGGGAAGGAAGTTTTCAAGATCAAGCCGCCATCAGACCTGCAATTGTAGGAACAAAGGCTTACTGCAATCTCTTCCCCTAGGAAACCTTTAGAACCAACCCAGTGCTAGCTGGCAAGGCACCAATTGTTGTTCTACAGTCAGTGGTGGCCGGGAGAGCCGTTCATGTGCTTTTCACTGCAAGGAACATCCGTGCTGTAGAGGCCGTCCAAGTACGCCTGAGAAATCTCCGCTACCAAGCTCCTGTCTGGGACGGACTGGGCCATTCCATAGATGGCTCCCTAAGCAGAGAAGAGGAGGTCATTATATAGGATCATTAATGCCACCAGAGAAACATGCTCGCCCCAAACATACCCTTCACTATATGCTGGCCTCCTTACCATGCCTGTGGTCTTGGCGTGGAGGTCCTTCATGATGTCCTCAATGCTGTCTTTCACATCTTTCAGGAACTGTTCAGCAACACCAGACTTTGTGTGCAACTGCGTAATGCAGATATGAATGCTGGGCAGACAGGGGAGAGGGAAGAGATTAACCACGTATAACCGCATATCTCCTTAAAACAATATTTCAGCAGTATAACAGGAGAAGATGATCCACGCCCAATTAAAGGCAATCCCTGCACATTACTTGCTAGAACCAAGCTACAGAGAGTTCAGCTCTTCTTTTGCAAAATGGCAACTCCTCCTTCCTTCCTGACTTTACCATGCACAGTTAAAGGTCTATAAATTCCTCCTCATTCCAGGTACCTCTGGTGAGAAAAATGCAGCTCCCTGCAAGCATGGTGATCCTTGCCATCATTTCCCTCCCCTTCCTCTCCAGCTTAGAAAATACATCAGCTACCTGCAGCAGGGAACTTAGCATCCACCAGAAGGACCAGGGCTACTCGCACCTCTGAGCTATTGGTTCAGGTTCTCTAGACTTTGCTTCATGCTAACTGCAAGTCCAAAATTTTCTCACTGCAGCTACATTCGAGAGCATTGTCCCCTTTTACCTACAGAAAAACAACAATCACCTACTTAAAGTCTGACAAACATTCATTTTATACCAGGCTGAAAAGATCACTGAAAATAATCAGCCCTTCACTGTTCAATTACTTTCAT